TTTCTTTGCTGAGCAACTTAATACAGTATATTATACAATCTATACCTCAACTTTTATCTATAGCCTATCATAACTACTATAATTACCATGTTCATGTTACTGTTCTCCAATCACTAAAGTTAGTACATTACAGTTTAAGCTAGAAGTTGTTTTTCAGTTTTCTTGCAGTGGAAAATTCTGAAACCTTTTTTCTACTTACAACTTTGCTGCCTTGTTTGCCTGTGTTATCTTTCTGCTTGGTACAAACATCTTCTTGTTTGAAGTGGGTTTATCCTTTGCTCTAAGTCATAAAAACCCCTTCTAACCAACACACCCTTTGCCTCCTTGGTTATCCAGTAAGACTGGCTCAGCAATTCTTTTCTTCTATATCAAAACTTGCTTCCATCTCTATTCCTTCATCAGACTCTACATTTAAAAATCTTTCTGCTAAGCACACATATCTGTGAGACTTCCTTGTCAAACTTTCATCCTTCCAAATAAGGCCCTGTTGCAACAGGACAAGGAGTGATGGCTTTAAACTGAGAGAGCTGACTCAGAATAGATATAAAGAGGAAACTTTTCATGGTGAGGGTGGTAAAACACTGGCGCAGGCTGCAAAGAGAGGTGGTGGATGCTCCATCCCTTGCCACACTCAAGGCCGGGTCGGGCAGGCCTTGGAACAACCTGTTCTACTGCAAGATTCCCTGCCCACAGAGACCCCTTCCAACCCCAACCACCCTGTGAATCTGTGAAAACCCACATCAGGCATCATGGCCCTGCTGAACCGGAGTGTTTATTTCCGCTGATGCCTCCCCACAAAGCCCCTGGCACAGCAGAGGCCGGGCTGGGCCCACCTTACCTGCACGCGTGGCGGTGGTGGCGGCGAGGGCACGGCCACCGTGTGGTTCCTCCAGGGCAGGGGGGGACAGAACCACTCGACCTCGCTGAGGTAGATGAGGAAGGAGCACTCGGTGCCATCCACACCAAAGAAAGCATAGCAGGGGTCAGAGGTCCAGCGGGCCCTCATCCACTGCAAGCGGCACAGAAACACGTGAGGCCCATGGAGGAGGTGTGCCAGCCCTGCCAGCTGCCCCTGCTGTGGAAAACCTCTGTTCTCCATCCCCCTTCTCTGTCTGGCAGATAAAAATGAAGGGCAAAGGGTGGAAAAGGGCTGCAAACCCAGCCCCAGTGCCACAGGGCTGGTGTTCACCCACTCAGGCTCTCCAGGGAATTTGGGGCAGATGAAGAGCCAGGGAGGTTTGCTGGGGCTCCCTGGGTTTCCAGCACTGGTTCCAGCCTTCCCTGGGGGCACAGCCATTAATCCCCAGGAAATGATGCACCACAGGGATTTCTTGTGGCTGGCTTTGCTGGGGAGCTGCTGATCTCATCGCCCCTGGAGCAGCAGGGCAGCAGACAGATCTGCCAGCAGTCCCCAGGGATGATTTCACACAGAGGAGAATAACCAGGGACCAGAGCAGTGATTTATCATCCCCCACAACCGCTCTTGCCAGCCTCTTCCTAATTCAACTACAAAAACAAATCTGCTCAGGGACAGGTTGCTGTGCCCAATCTGTAAAGCACAGCAATCACCAGGAGGGGAGATGGGATTACAGCCTTCCACAATTGCATTACATCCTGAATTTACTCAAATCGTGGAAGGAAAGAATGGCTAACACCCCTGGAAGTGAAAAATCCACAATATTTTTTTGTACCCCCCACGTCATTTTCTTGTACCCTTCAACATCTTTCCAGGGAGACTGGGCCCTGCAGAAGCCTGAGCTTGAAGCAGGTTGGCAAGAGGAGGGAAAAGGGCAATGCTTTTAATTAGTTGATCTAAATATGCTCTCTGACAAAGCCATCATGCTCTGGGCCAAGTGCCAGGCTGCATTCCAGTATGAGGAGCAGGCTGGGCCAGGCAGGACGGATTGAGATGGAGGTTCTGGCCACCTGAACGAGGTGCTGTTCTGGGCACTGCTGGGCTTATTCACCAGGGAATGCTCCAGAGATTCAGAGGTGATGTGGCAGAGCTTCCTCCTCGCTGTGCTTCTGGCATTGAACACACAGACTGCAGGCAGGGAGGGCTGTAGGCAGAGGTAGGCCCACAGATGATTCTGCCACAGCCTCTGGCTTCAGGGCTTTCTATCACTCCAGCTAAAGGCACATTTGGGGAGGGTATTACTGGGGCAAAACAATCCCATTTCTGTAGCAAAGCTGCCAGAGAAGATTGGACACCTCCCTCGTGTTTTCTCTTCAAAGCACAGCCCTTCTTTGCTTTCCACACCTTTGACTCTGCTCGTCCTCCTTCAATGGGCTGCACCTTTCCAATATTAACAAACATTTTGTCCTGGAAATCATCCCATTCCCCATTGCCCTTCCCAGTTTAACCCCCAGGGTCACTGCTTTGGGCCCTTCCATCCCAGCTGGAGACCCTCTCCCAGACAAGGGACCCCAACTCACCTCCACCTTCCCAGCACAGTCGGGGTACTTGGGATCCCTGGGCACCTCACACTGATCCCTCCTGCCTTCCATCCCTGCAGAGAGACAATTTGGGCATGGGGAGAGCTGGAGTGTGACAGAGGAGCAGCTAGAAATGCTGTGAGGAGAATGGGATGGGATGGGATGGGATGGGATGGGATGGGATGGGATGGNGGGATGGGATGGGATGGGATGGGATGGGATGGGATGGGATGGGATGGGAGCCCCCAAGCATGTTCACTGGTGCCATAGCTGGGCTGGCAGACAGCCCCATCCCACTGGATGGAGCAGGACATCAAGATGTGAAGCATCTTCAGCACCCTTCCCAAAACAGGAAAGAAACAGAGAAAACCATCCTGCTTCAATGCAGGGAATGTTCTCTTTGCCTAAATCTCAGCAGGTGCATTTCCAGCACTTCCCTGCACCCTCTGCCTGGTCCAGACCCCAAATTCCACCCATCCCCACTCTTGTAAGCAGGCTGCAGGATCTAGGGAAGCACTTGACAGCCTTTTATGCTGTAAACTTGCAATAAAAACTGTCCTGCTGAGCTGCTGGAAGAAGACTCATCCCCCAGGGTGAGTTCCAGAATAACCCATAAAATGGTTAAAATGGCATCAGGATCTTTTCTCCCTCCATGGCTGGGCCAATAAAAGCCACCAGCCCTCCTCTAAGCCCTTCTTTGCCCATAATTGAAAAGCATGAGGTGCAAGAGGCAGTGGAAGGATCTTCAGCCTAAACCCCAATAACCATGCAGGCATGTGAGGAAACATCTGCAGAGCCCAGCTGCCCTCTCAGCAGTGCCACAGGGGGGTGGGAATGTCTCTCCTGGTGCTAAATCCCAGCCCCTGTGAATTTGGATCCAAACCACCAAATTTTTCTATCCAGGTGCTTGTGCACTGCTCCTCATCTTTAATTTAGCATTTAATTCTTCATCATTTGTTCCTGACAGCCATTCAGATTTGTCACGCACGAGTTTCCCAAGGAAGGCAGCCTCAAGATCAGCCTCCATTTCTGGGATTTTTACCAAATTTGTCATGGTTGGACCTTCCCATAGGCACAGCACAACACACAGGGGGTTTGGGGCACGGGGACCACTGACCTTTCCCATTCAGGAGGCTGTTCCGGAGAATCTGATCCACCTTTATTGCAATGTCCGACACGTTCTGAGCAATGGCCTGGATCCTCTCCATCAACCCAGCTGCTGGCTGGAACCTGGGAAAGAAACCAAATCAACCCTGAGAACTTGATGCCTCCTGTGACTGTCATATTTTCTGAAAAATCCCTTTGCCCAGGATTTCTCTCCTGGGAAGCTGAGAAGCCTCAGAGAAAAGGGAAAACAATATTATCTCATTTGCTTCTCCTGTGTTTTGCTGCTTTGGAATGTGGTTGGAGATTGTTTATCCAGCATGTGAATTGTTTTTATTTAATGGCCAATTATGGCCAAGCTGTGTCAGACTGAGGAGAGAGTCACGAGTTTTTCCATAGTATCTTTTAGCCTTCTGTCTAGATCCTTTCTCTATTCTTCAGTATAGTTTAGTATAGTATTCTTTAATATAATAATATAATATAATAATAAATTAGCCTTCTAAAAACATGGAGTCAGATTCATCATTCCTCCCTTCAACAGGGGTCTCAGAAAATACCACAGTGTCCCAGTGGTGACACTCAGAGGTGCTCAAAGAGAAATCCATACCCAGCAGATTGAACTTAGCTCCAGGATGAAACACAGGAATGCCTGGTGCAGCATTTAACAGGCAAAGAAGTCACTGCCTTCCAGGAGGTTTGATTGAAAACCTATTTAAATCAGTGTTTTATACATATTCTGCCATTTTTTGAAGTGTGCTGTTAAACACGGATCCACCTGTGCATTTTATGCAGGAAAAATATTAAATAGACTGGCAAAAAATGCTTTTTTCTTATTTTAGATGTGCTGTGTTTGAAAATCCTCTGCTGTGATAATTGGTCCTGCAGTAGGAAGCTGTGCTAAAAAAATGAGTAAAAGAATAAAAATACAGAGAAAAGAAGGTAAAACTGAGGATGGCTGAGGAAGTTTGTGAGTTTGGAGCAGAGCAATGAAAAACACACAGGACATGTGGATCTCCTGATCCAGCCCATCCACAATGGTGGGGATCAGTTTTTCCTCCCAAGGAACAAGTGACAGGACAAGAAAAAACAGACTTAAGGTGCACCTGGGGAAGTTTAGATTAGATAACAGGAAAAATTTCTTCACTGAAAGTGAGGCCAGGCATTGGAACAGCCTGTCCAGAGAAGCAGTGGAATCATCATCCCTGAAGTATCCCAAAAATACCCAGATGTGGTTCTTAGGGACAGGGTTTAGTGATGGGCTTGGCAGTGCTGGGTTAATGGTTGGATTCAATGATATCAGAGGTTTTCCAGCCTCGGTGATTCTGAGATTCAGGTGAGTGGATTTCCAGCAAGGAGCAGCAGCCAGGGCTGTGCAGGCCCGGGAAGCTGGGGCTGAGCTGGATCAACATCGTCCTAGCTGAACAGCTCCATTGAACTCATCTAAGGAACACGTTGTGTGAACAGGAAAAGAGAGCCCTGTAAAGAGGCTCAGTGTCAATTAAAACCTGGTGTAAGCTGGAAAAAGGCAAAGAGAACTCCATCCATCAGCAGTGGAGCCTGCCAGGCCTGACAAGGAATGAGCCCTCCCACTCCAACAACTCTCCTGTGTCTAGCAGACAGGTGTCTGCTAAGGAAGGCAGGAGCCTCCTCTGAAATGGAAAATGCAAACCCCCTCCCTCTAAATTATTATAATTTTGAAATTAAGGGGCTCTCAGGAAAAGGTATGGAAATTGGAATTACAGCGCTGTACTATGAAAACTAAAAATTACAAAGACAATAGTACGAAAAAAACCCAGAAAACAAGCCACTGAGAGTCAGAGCATGCCCTGCCCCCTGTGTGTCAGGGGGTGTCCCAGCCCCATGCCATGGGGGCTCAGCCCTCCTGCAGTGCCAGCCGTGGCTCTGCTGCAGCACGGATCCTGCACAAGGGGGGAGTTTTCCTCTGCAGCTCCAGGGCTGCTGCAGATGGGCCTGGGCTCCCTCTGGCCATGCAGGGCAGCAGAAAGCTGCTCCTCTGGCAATGCAGGGGGCAAAGGCTGCTGTGCTGGGCCAGGCTCAGATTGGATCCAGGGAGGAATGCTTGGCTCCTCCCCTGGGCGGAGCATCTCCCCATGGGATGCTGGGATTGGATCAGCCCTGCAGAGACACTCAGTGGCCATGGACATCAGAGATCTCCTGGAGGGAGGGTTGGTGTGGGAGAGATAAAGGAAAAACTGCTCCATGAACAGCAGAGAACTGCCCCAGCTCTGACAGATGGAAACAGAACACACACCCCCAGCACATCTTGCATTTCCAGCCTCAGATACCTGCCAGTTCCACCACAAACAGCCACCACGTCTCCATGAGTTATCCCAGTAAATAATTTTCCCTTCTTCAATGTTTGGGCCGTAAGTTTTCCCTCCTGCTGCCGCTGAGGTCGTTACAATACAGGGAAATGTCACACGCAGTGAGCAAAACCAAAAGGGCTACCTTGAATACTCATGGCACAAAAAATATGTGCTGATGTCAGGTCCTTCGTGGTGAAGTTTTATGTTTGTTCTCCAGCAGATCAGTGAACCCAAAGGCTGGGATTTAAAGTACCTCTGTCCTCAAGGCTAAAAAAATCCTGGTTTTATGAACCGACACTGCTTCGCTTGTTGATTTAAAGTCCATTTGCCAGCAGCGAGCAGCCCACATTTTTCCTTCTGGCATAGTTTACGACCATCAATATTCAGGCTGCATATCTCCACAGGGAGCCACTGATCTTGGGCTTTTAAGAAATAATAATTAAATGCAGAGGACACCATTGCCCCCAAGTCACTTCCAACCTTTGCAGAGAATAAACCCCAGGTATCCTGCTGTAACCAGTGCAGCAGGGAGGCTGCTCGTGAGGCCCTGGGAAAATATGGGCACAAAAATAACCTGAGATAAGCTCTGCTTGTCAGCATGGCTCCAAGGAGATAAAATTGTCCTGGTCTGAAAGCTTGCAAACCCCCATTTCTGCAACCCTTTTTTCACCAGCAGAGGCACTCAGTAAACACCTGGGATGGGCAATTTAGGAGGAAACATCACATGGATGCTGTGAATTTAGAGCCAGTGAGCCCAAACTCCTGTTTTCAACAGGAAAAGGATGTGGGCTTGGTGAAGATGCTCCCCAGGTTTCTCCATCACTCATGGCAAGGAGAGAAGATGACCACAGCCACAGCAGCACTGCTCTCACCCTTCAGAGCACTTAGATCAGCTCACAGTCCAGCTTCTGCCTCTTCCCAGAAGCTATCCCAATCCTCACTTGCTCCCAAACACCCAAGGAACCAGGTGAGACTCAAAAATCAACAGCAACCTCAGTCCTCAATGCCTCACTGATGACCTCCAGACCTCAGCTCAGCCAGGGCTGAGCACTGGGCAGCCATAAAAATGCTCAAACAAAAATCAGGATTGTTATCCTAAATAAATTGCTTTCTTCCAGCTCAGCCTTGTCCTGCCAGGCAGCCACAGTGCTGGGTGGTGGAGCTGGCCCAGGCTCTGTGCCAGCCTGCCCAGCTCTTGTTAAGCTACAGCTGCTCCCCGAACACAAAGATTTCACCTCAAAACGTTTAGATGCGAAATGTATTTCTGAGCATCACACTCCAGTCCTCCAGACAAGGTGGGCATTGCATGAGCACCACAAGGCTTTCCCCAAAACACAGAGGATTACTGGAAAGGGACATTAAAAATGTCCACATGACTCCTGGAACATATGAAAGTGATGCCTTGAGAAGGCTGACCTAGAACAGAGACTGGACAGAGCTAAAGAATAAAGCAGGGATTTATTGAAAGGCCTCAATGGATCCACCTTGGGCAGCACAAGAGCCCAGCCAGGGCTGCACCCAAGATGAACCAAAATGGTCCCAAAATGCACAACCGGGCACGGGGTCTCTCACTGTGATCAGTTCTGCTCCATTTGCATCTTGCGGTTCATTGTCCAGTTCCAGCTTTAGCCCATCCCGTCCCATCCTGCTTGTTTTTCTCTCTCCAGCCCACGGTGTTTGTGCTCTTGGGCTGAGATTTGGATCATTTGTCTTTGGTGTGCAGCTGGAGCAGGAATTGTTTTGTCTCCCTATTCAGTGCAGAGAGCTCACCATCCCCTCATATAAAGCTCAAAAGTAGCACAGAATCTGAAAAATGTAAAAGCCAAAACCTGAGGCATCAAAAGGAGAGGGAGAAAAGCAGAAAAGTCCCTTTGAAACACAGAACCAGGCTCAGATCTCCCATGCTCCTCATCCTTGGATGCCACCAAACCCTCGTGGGGTTTTTCTGAGGGAGGGATTTCACACCTGGGGAGAAGAGCCACGCTCCCAGCTGGGAACACTGACAGGTCCCTGTGTTTGTATCTGCTGGGTAACAAGGCCATCACAGGAGCAGCACATTTCATGTGAGGCATTAAGGAGATGACAAGCAGGTTAAGCATAAGTTACATCAACTATCAGCACAGCGATTTGTCACCCAGGCAGGGGACAAGAAAATAAGGCAGTTAAAGGTGTATCTTCAATGTGAAAAGGTTCTCTGTGCCTCGTAGGAGTTTGATGCCTTGTTGTTAGTAACTGGAGACACCAGGAAGGACAAGGTAAGTAGCTTGTTCTGCTCAACAATAGCTCAGCAGAGCAGGGATATCCCACCACGTGGTGGATCCAAGCCAGGATGCCAGCACAGCCCTTGCCAGCCCAGTGGAAAAAGAATCTCCTTTCTTCCAGCACCACCACTGCCCAGGGAGCAGCTTTGTGCCTTTTCCCTTCCTGCTTTTTAAGTTTTTCCATAGTGACATGCTAAATGCCACCAAAATGTGCTGGCACTCTGCCAGCTATTGAAACTACACTAAATTACCACAGCTTTCCTAGAATAAATTTTTCTCTGGGACCTTAAAACCGTTTACTACAGCAAATACAGTATTTTAACTCCTAACCATCAATATAGATTTTGTCTTTATTATTTTCAGATTTATATTTCCCCCTGTTGATTAGGATTCAGATCACACTGTGCCTTATAATGCTCTGTATACAGTATTCATCTCCTTTCAAAAACTGCTATTAAGATGTATCTTTCCCCACTGACAGATCATTTGCCATAGAATATAGCCGGAGGTTGGGTTTTCTGTCACTTTTTTATGCATT